CGTTCCACCGAATTTATAGATTCGACGTGATTGCCCAAGCCTAGAAAGTAATACAAATAGCTTGAAGTTTCCACACTCTTTATTTTGAGAGCTCTTTACACTACAAAAGGCTTTCTTTCTCTTTTATTCGTTGCTCCTTCCGTTCCTGTTGGCTCCGTCGTCGGCGTCCTATGCGGGTTGTCCGGGATACGCTGCCGCTGTTCCGTCGCCGCCCTTACTCCGTCGCCGATGGTACTCCTGTCGCCGCGCTGCTAGCGATTCCGCTACCTTCTGCCCTTTGACCTTGCGAAAACACCCCCTTGGGTCGACTACGACTGATCTGACGGTTGGCTGCGGTCGGTCGCCTCCGCTACACCGGGACACCGTGCATACGCTCCGGTGCCAGGTTTGGGAGTTTGTTTGCTGACTGCCGCCTTCGCTACACCGGGACACCGTGCATACGCTCCGGCGCCAGGTTTGGAAGTTGCCGTGTGACGTCTCCGCTACACCGGGACACCGTGCATACGCTCCGGTTCCAGGTTTGGAAGCCGCCGTGTGCCTGATCGTATTGTCGCGCTCCCGCTACACCGGGACACCGTGCATACGCTCCGGCGGACCCGAGTTTGTAGTGGCGGGGCTGGTGACCAGGGTGTTCTCACTTGGTCTGTGACTTGGACGCGAGTCCTTGAGTCGGCCGATCCGTGTATCGCAGGACCACGCCTGTTGGTTGCGATTCCAGGAGTCGGTAAGGCGTACGCCAGACTTATCCTTTCTTCACTTCCTTGCAAGGCTACCTGCCGTGTTCGGGAATGGCTCAACTCGACTCTGACGCCTCGGGCTTGTAGAGGAAACCGTCCAGCAACGGATCCTTGTCTCCCTAGTTCTGTACGTCTCGTGGTTACCGGGCGTGTGATCCCAAGTATGCCTCCTTGTTTCGCAGGACCACGCCTGTTGGTTGCGATTCCAGGAGTCGGTAAAAAAAATTTCCTTTCCACTTCCTTGCAAGGCTACCTGCCGTGTTCGGGAGTGGCTCAACTCGGTCTCCCCACCCTGGTTCTGTCTTGTGTCTCGTCCTTTACGTCTCGTGTGCACCGGGCGTGCGATCTCGAGTTGGTCTATCCTTGTCTCGCAGAACCACGCCTGTTGGTTATGATTTCAGGAGTCGGTAAGGCATACGCCAGACTTTATCCATTCCTCACTTCCTTGCAAGGCTACCTGCCGTGTTCGGGAATGAACCAACTCGTCTACACGACCCTGGGTCTCCGGAGGAAGGTCCAGCAATGGATCCTTTCCTTATTTTCTTATTCGTTCTCCTTGCGCTTGGCTGTCGGACTCTCCAAAGGCGGTCCTTCAACTCAAACAAAACCGAATCCTTTTTAGAAACGCTCTAACACTTGAATGGCGGACTCTCCACAGGCGGTCCTCCAACTCAACGCTACAAGCTTCCTAAAAAGACTCGTCTCGAGCCGCTCCAGTGGGCCTCCTTTTATACTGACTGGAGCGCCCGTTAATCCTCCTGGATTCTGCTCCTGCCGTTAATCCTGCTTCCAGAATCACGCCACTTCCCCGTTGGCGGGTCGCTGTCCGTGGCCCCTCGTCTCCCCCGGCCACGGATCTCTGCTGCTGGTGCGTGGTGCACCGGTGGGCTTCCAGGGCCCGTTGCACTCTTCGTCGCAACCCCCCCCTCTGCTCCTTGCCGCTCACCCCGCCACACTTTCTAAGGCACGCCTGCGCATCGTGCTGATTCCCAACTGGACTACTTTCCCAACGTTGCCCCGGGACCCGTTACGTTCCACGTCGATTCCTTCTTCCCCCGGGTGGCGCCGTTTACCCTTTCACCTGCCACCGTTACGTTCCACGTAGATTCCGTCCCCCCACGGGTAGCCCTTCGCCAGAACCCACGGTAACTGGCTTTCACCTTTCCCCCCGACCCCCCGTACTGATCCTGGCGATGTTCCCTTGGGCTGCCCGGGTTGTTGACCGGTGGTTGACCCCCTTTTTCCGCCTCCTCGGCCCCCCCCTTTGCCCCCGGCTATCTGTCTTCGCGTGTGGGGAGACTAAATCTCCTCACATTGTATTTTTGGTGCTGTCATTAATAACTCATTTTTTCTAGGCATATGCTTTTTACTGAAAACGCTCAGTGAATAAAAATTGGTATCGTTCCTATCCTAAAGCGGCGAGCTACAGGTGCGGCAGTCGAAGTCCCCAACCGTAGTCTGCGGCATAAGTGATGCTGGTTTTGCTATTGAAGAGTTTGCGCTAAACTTTTCGTTGCAGTCTCAGTCTTTCTAACTTTTCAGTAAACATCACCAAACCCTTCAGACCTGACAATCGCAAATATTCTCCTCTCTGATGTTAACTTCCATCGACTTCAAAGGGAAGATCTGATTATTTCAGCTAGCCTCTTCTACGAGCTTTTGTGCGTTGGACAAAGCCAGCTTTCGTCGGGGGTACCTATAATGCAGAAAACACGTCTTGGTTGAGTAGTTTGAGGCAGAGGGGGAAATGCACGTGATTGGTTCTCATGGCTAAGCAGCAGTCGCAATTAAGCCAAGGCCAGGCCACCAATGACACGATGGGTGACCGGCTCGACGTGTTTCAGCGCCAATTCTAGGAAGACAAAGTGTGTCGATCCAGAAGAAGCTTTTTTGCGCGGCTTGTTTCTCTCAAAACCTTGATTGAAGACATGAGAATATTCCGTCTGTTTTCCAGCTAAGTTCACCCTTGATGTCCACCCTTAATCTTCAGCTAGGGCACATGTCTTGTTCCCTTTGGGCTAGCACAATCCTGGAAGTATTTTCTAACTCATCATTGCGTGTTGAATGTGGAAAACGAAGGGCGGTGTTTGATGGCTCCACTCTACAACCTCAGGAGGCTCGTTAAATTAAATTTTAATCCAGCCCAAGCTATTCCACATTATTCTAAGGTTTCGTTTTAATTCTGTCTCGTTAACTGTCTCACATTTGTAAAATGTATCGTTTTATCAGAATGTCTTCAGCCGAGAATCATCCCAGGATGAGCTCCTAACGTATAAGTTGGATACGACCAGCCTGCATCATATTTGACCGCAAGAGCAATGCGCCCTCGACTTGTCAACCGCCTCCAGCTTTGCACCCGGGTAGACTTGACCAAACGCGTCTATCATTTGCTTGTACAGGGCTGCTGGCAAGTTTTATTCTTCACGCTACCCTGGTACCTGGTGGGGCTCCTCCACTCAGCTCATTGACTACCTTTCGCCAGAGGTCCTTGGGGGTCAGTCAATCTTTGAATCTCCAATCAAGGACTCCAATGAGTGTTTTGCTGGAACTTCTTCTTCTTCGCCTGGGGAACTTCACCTTTGGTTGACCTTTGCCGTTCCGCACTCTGAGCGATCTTTTTGGTAGAGGTGGTGCCTACTCCAGCCGGCTGTTTCGGTCCCAGTCGGCAGCTTCGGCCCCGGCAGCCTTTGCCGGTTGAAAGTCTGACAAGATTTCTCTTGCCCACCCCATGATCTCGGCCTGGTCCGGGTTGGATTTCGCCGATGGGTCCGCCCTAATCACAATGAAAGCTGAGTTGAGAGCCTTGGAGTTTGACGGATTTTTGACGTCATTTCCGGATTTTCTGAGGGAGTTCCGATCTCCACTTTAATTTTATGTATAGTTGATGTGTTCATGTTTTCGACCCACGAGTAGGCGGAAGGGCGTTCGTCCATCATGACATAGCCCGCTTGTCACTATAAACCTGGTTAAAACTTAAAAACCGGTCTCCCAGTCCGAGCCCCACCTCGGACACGCATTCTTCGGCATATGCTGATTCACCTTGGATTGGAGTAATTTAAGGAAGTGTTATTCTTCCGCCCGACAACGATTAGCCAGCATCTACGGCAGAGACATGACCGTACCGGGACATCTTACCAGGCGCACATGTACCATCAGGTTTTGATACGCATCACATGGGAGGGGTCTGGGAACGTATGACCAGATTCCTGGAATCCCTTTTAATTGAAATACTAGATAAAAAACACACGCTCAAGAGCTCGTGCTTTGAGCAGCACTGGCGAGGATACCGAATATTCTTAATATTCCTTAAGGGGAGGGTAAGGTCAAATCATGCGAAAAAAGCCATGTTTTTGTGATTTTTTTCCTGACGACACAGTTAAAATTTATTTATTCAACCAACGGTATATTAAAGTATGACATTTCAAGAATGTTTAATCAAATTTTTACAAAAAAATATTTAAAAATATGGCAATGGTAGCAATTGTCCGGACGTGTCGCCAAAAAAAGTTGAATTGCGGTGCCCCTCATAACTCGGTGCTGGATCATTTGTAATCAAAAAATGAAAATTCATTCGTTAGATAATAGTTCGCCCCAGGTAACGCTGTAAAGGTTTTTTGAAAATTGCAATTTTTTAATTTTTTCGAAGACTTTGAAGTGAAAAACTCAATTTTTTGGGAAAAAATCGGTTAATTTGTCATTGCCAAATCAAAATTATGAACAAAAAAAAAAAAAACTCGACAGCGTTACCTCGTAAAATATGTACAGAAATAGTGTAAAAATTTCAAAAGGATCGGTGCAGTAGTTTTGAAGTTATGAGGGGCACCGACTTTGAAAACGTGAGTTGTGGGAATAACGCTTTAAAGTTTTAAACAAAACAAAATCCAGTGTAAAACGTTTGCAAGCAACTTCGTCAATAACTAATAACTTCGTCAATTTTGCTTTAATTGACTTGAAATTTTGACACAATATTCTTCAGATATTATGCATTCAATTTAAAAAATAAAAAAAAAATGAAAAAAAAAAAAAATTTAATACCTTACCCTCCCCTTAATCTTACTTCGTAATAGTTTTCGAATTGCAGATCAGATCGAAGACAAATTCCAATTAAATGTTGACACTTAAATGTTCAAAATGTGTGCGTTTGGCCCACTATTGAGGAATACTTTAACCTGATGAAGCTGCGGTCTTATCCGGGCTCCTCTGGTTTGTTGTTAGTCAAAATGACAAAATTCTTACAAAATAACCCAAATAAAACAAGTAGCATTTTCTTTTATTTTAACTTCACATTGAATGAATTGTAAATTATATTATTGTCAACTACTTAAACAAGTTTACTTCTTTTTCACATGTTCTATATGCAATACCAGTTCCAAATCCTGTTCCAAGAAAGGCAGGCCATGGTCGTCTTTTAAAAAAAAACACAGACATAGCCAATCCAACTATTAGGCCACCACCTGTAAATAAATATTTTTATATTAGATTCACGGTATAACGGTATTTTTTTTAATAAAGATCAACTTAAGAACGTGTTACTTTAAGTTAACAGATGACAACAGGAAATTCTCTTTTTCAATTCAAGAGGGACTTTCATAGTTTATTTTTCTACTTATTGTACTGTCCCATACTCAGAAATGTCCCAAACCATTAATATGGTTTTTCTTTCAAATGGTAGTAAAAATTTACTAAGTGGCACTGGTGGCTGGAATTCCTAAAATTCTGCAACTAACTCTAATTAGTGAAATTAGTCTTTATGAAGACAAAACATTAAACTCATCCGTTAGTGTAACGTTAAGGGCCATGAATGACTGAATTTTAGATTCAACTGATTCGTTTATCGTATTTTTATTATATAAGAGAATGATTCCTGTAAATATTTTTATTTGGGAAGGACGCTTTCGATCTTCGATGCAATCCAGTCTCTGTTCTCTTCTCTGTCCAGTAAGTACACTTAATCCTTTCATACTTCTATATTTTATTTTCTGTTACACTAAATAGTAATAGTAATACAACTACAATATACCCTTGTACTCTACGAGTACCGAGGTACTCAAACAAAAAAACAAGAAAGGAAAGCTAACTTCGGACGGAGCCAAAGTTGATATACCGTTGCAGTTAAAACCGGAAACAACGGATATAGTTTTAGTAATTACAATAAAAAACTTTAAAAAAAAAACCCCAAGCTTCTATCTTTAAAAACATAAAAAAACGCATTTCCGATCGTTCAGTTATACGGCAGCTATAAGATATAGGCGGCCGATCCTTATGAAATTTGACATGCATTATTTTTCCAAAAATAGCATTCATACAAAATTTTAACTCCCTAACTCTAAAACATTGGGGGCAAACTCTCATTTTCCATAGCACGCGTGCATAGGGTAGAAAATTCTGCAGCAGCGCTGCCGGCACTGACAGTGTGAGCACTTTCAAATTTTTTTAAAAGCTCGCTCATTTGTTTTCGTTTGACAGCCCAAACTTAAAAATCAAAATGTTTCCACTGAGAAAAATTTTCTCAGAAATTGGGTAAGTTTTTTGGGAAAAAGTTTTTTCCATAGAAAATATAGATAGGGAAGCGTAGGTTTTCAGTTGTTAAAGAACTTTTGCTAGCAAAGCTTTCTTTAAAATAAAATAACTATTTTAGTCCCCATTCCAACTTTTGAATTAACGAAAAATGCAATAAAAAAAATACGTTTTTTTCGCTCAGTGAATGCTTGGCTCTCATTGTTTTTTCTCTGCTACACATACACTTAGCACCCACTGCTGAAAAACACCGAAGTTATAGCATTTCCGATCAATCAGTTATATGGCAGCTATAGGTTATAGTCGGCCGATCCCGGCCGTTCCTTTTTTATACCCTTGCAACTATTTTTGGCAAAACATTACGACATGCTAAATTTCGTTAGGATAGGCCGACTATATCCTAGAGCTCCCATATAACTAAACAATCGGAAATGACCCAACTTTCGTGGTTTGAAGATAGAAAGCTGGAATTTAGTACAGATTCTACTTTTGGTCAGTTGATCCAACCTACCAAATTTCATAAGGATCGGCCGACTATATCCTATAGCTGCCACATAACTAAACGATCGGAAATGACCCAACTTTTGTTTTTATAAAGATAGAATGCTGGAACTTAGAACAGATTATCCGACTCCGAGTCAGTTATCCGAGTCAGTTAATCCGACTTACAAAATTTTATAACGATCGGCCGACTGTATCTTTTAGCTGCCCTACATATAACTAAACGGTCGGAAGTGGTATTTGGTAGAAATACCAACTTTGGTATTTTTTAAGATAGAAGCTTGGGTTTTTTTTTAATTTTTAAGAAATTGGTTTTATTATGATATTCTCATAAGGATGGGACAATTAGATCGGCAAGTGGAGCCGGTAATCTTGAATTCATTGATTTCACAATGGATCACAAAAAGTATATCGACATTTTAAATCAAAATTTATTTCAAAGGGCTGAAAAATTAAGACTGGAAAATGATGTTTGTTTTTTTGTTTCAAAAATCAAAAAATAATCCAAAACATTGGGTCCACAATACCAAGCTGTAGATCAGTGGTGGGCACGAAATCTAACGGTCGGAGCCGCAGCTCGGCCAAAAAACAAATTACAACAACAACCACCAACCTCGCGATGGTTGTTGTCGCGTTGTGCGCAAACGGACCCTTAATAATTGTTGTTGCAAACTCGGGACCGCGGGGTCGGGCCCGCTACCTGCCTCGGAATTTGTGTAGCATTGTTTTTGTAAATCTTCACGGCTCACTGACCGCGCGACTCGATCGTCTGGCCCGATTTGCTGGCCAGCAAATCTACGAACGGGGGGAGCCTTGAGAGCCCGAGGAGCCATGGGCTTGCCCACCCCTGCTGTAGATGCTTTATGTGAAAAATCACTTAAATTCGCCACCGTAATCCTTTGAACTTAATCCTATTGAGCATCTATGGGACCTATTGGAGCTGAGGATTCGCCAAAACACCATAGCATCCAAGGATATGCTTAAAAAGGTCATTCAGGAGGAATGGAGTCAAATAACGGCAAAGGATATGGCGAAATTGCTCCACTCAATGCCAAATTGGATGGCTGAAGATCTTAAACGAAAAGGATATCCAACTTCGTACTAAAATACAGTATACAATAAAATCCGGACAGGCAGAAAATACTACTTTTTTAGTTTTTTTTCAGCCAGCGTTTACTTTATGGTTTCAAATCGATGACATTAATATAAATGTAATTCAAAACGTGTTCTTTTAAATGTCATTTTGTTTTATTCGGAAATAAAACGTATATTTCAATATTCGATGGAATTAACAAAAAACGTAGGCCAAAATTATTTCTTAATAGCTTAGTATTTAAACTTTAAATAAACTTAAACTTAAACTTTAAATTTTAAAGTATTCAAAAATAATTTTGTTTGGGTTCTTTAGTATTTAGTAGGTCTTCCTTGAGTTTTTAAAACGGCCTTTATGCTTGATAGCATAAAATCTTCCAAGTGTTTGTTAGTTTTCTAGTTTTATGTCTTTATAACAGACAATTTCCACTGTTAAATTAAATTCTCTTATTTTTTTGGTTTTGTTTTTCTGTATTTTAACTTTTAAAATAGAACGATATTGAATCGGATAGAAATAAGGACTACTGCCTGGCCAGTCTAATGTTGATATTGGATTTTTCTGCAAATAATTTATTACCTAAATTTAAAAAAAAATACTAGAAATTTAAAACTTTAATTATTGTTTAAACAAATCCTTAAGGAATTAAAAAAAAATATATATCCCTTTTTTTGCACGATAGAAAGACTTTTCAGCATTCACAGTTCCATCAATTAATGCCAGATTACCAACGTCATAGTAAGAAAAGCATCCCCGGACCATTCGGCATTCTCCTTGCCTGACCTTTCGCCGTAAGCAATTACACAGCCACACAAAAAAAAATATTTTTTCGGGTCTGGAGGTCAGACCATGTTTACTACGTATATGTTTTCGGGGTCGCTGAATCCGAATCCGAGGTCCAAAAAACCCCAGCACGTCAGGGTTCTGACATAACCTCAAAAAACCTCATACAAAATTATATTCGAGTCCGTGGGTCAGACCATGTTTATAATATGTTTTCAGGGTCGCTGAATCCGAATCCGAGGTCTAAAAAACTCCAGAATGTCAGGTTTACGACATAACCTCAAAAACTTGATAAAATTAAAAAAAAACAAGAAATAAAATCCGAACGACAGATTCGGATTCAGCGACCCCAAAAACATATGGGCATTTCCTGGGGTCGCGAACGTACGTTCGTACGCAATTAGTGCCAAAAAATTAAAGAAAAAAGCATTTCATTGTATGAAACCGCTACTGTACGTACATATAAAAAAAAAGGTTTTTTTTTGATATATTTTAAGTTATGTGCGCATACTTTTTCTAAAACAAAATCAGACAATTTTTTTTTAAATTTATAAGTTTAAGAGCTAGGAACTAAGAAGTAACATACCATAAAGCTCATAAAATTTACAAATTTTTAGAAAAAAAAAAATTTTTTTTGTATTCTTATTCAAAGTTCTGTATTCTTATATTTTAAGTTCTCTACGCATACTTTTTCCGAAAGAAAATAAGACTATTTTTTTTTTTTATTTTTAAGTTTTAGTTTTTTTTAAGTTTTAATTTTTTTTTGTATTCTATAAGCACTTTTTTTCGAAGCCAAGGGGAGCGTTTGTACGCATAATTTTTCCGGGCACGGGTATGTATAATTGGTTATTTTTTTCATTGATATGGAAGTTTGTTCTGCTGTATGCAGAGCTTGGTATTCTGTTATAAACACACATACATAAGTATTTTATTCAGTGTAATGACTCTACCTCATGCCTTTATCAAATATTAATACAACTTTCATTTTTTCCCTTTCGAATGTTGGTACAACGATAAATCTACAATTTACTACTCTTATATAATTTTACTCACATCCTTTAACTACAGCGTCTGAAACGCAACGATCCAGCCGCCTTCCAATCTTATCCTCCACAAATGATTCATTGATTGACATTTTAGGAATCAAATTAGTAACAAATATTAATTATTTCAACTTTTCAACAAAATAAAATTTCCAAAAATGATAATAAATTGGAAATAAAAAAGATTTGGAATGATAACAGAAGAACTCCACTATTTATTTTTCAATTTGAAACGATGGAATAGAATAAAAAGATTATAATATAATATACTATATCAGGGGCGCCCAAGCTCGGCATAGGGCAGTACAATCTTCAACACCAATGCAAAAATTGACCCATTCATTGGAGCGAGAAATTTTTTTTGCTAGTCATGTCGGTATACTAAAAAAAATCAGAATACCGTTTTCAATGAAAAAAATTATTTATTTAATTAAAATTGTTATTTAAAAATTAAAATAAATTTTGATGAAATAAAAATTAAATATTAAAAAAAAAAGTATTATGAAAATAAAATATTAAGGAAACAAAAATTAGAATTAGAAATAAAATATAAAAATAGAAGAAATATAAAATTTTTTGATTTTTTGCAGTACGAAAAACTGAGAGCTTATGCAATTGTTGTTGCTAAGCTCTGAAACGAACAAAAAAGGAAAGATTGTTTTTGTATCTGGCCTATGCTGGGAGCAACTCACGTATACGACTTTGCATTTCCCACATGGAAGAGCAATTTCAATAACAAAGGAGCAACGAGAGCTTTGTACTTTGTATATATACTTTGTACTCTAGTATTAACAAATTTTCGATATTTTATCCTTATTTACTTTCTATCTAAGCAGAAATTTTAATTTGAAAATTGCGTCAAAATTTTAAGTTTCCTAATTTAATTCGGCTGCTCAAAACTTACCTCAGAGGAAGGATTATATGTACCTTTTTTATATCTTCATAAAATTACTCTAGTCTTTCTTTAAATCATTATATATTTTTTGTCCTCCTTGTGCTTCATTCGTTGTACGTTTTTAAATAATATGCGCCGGAAAACTGGATTTTCATAGGCAATGGGTATAAATATGTACAAATTGAGGTTAGTGTGCTACAGATAGCAATTAAGCTAGAAGTATCATTTTATCAGCAGAACGTACATATGTAAATTTGAATTTGAATTTTTGTCAATCTGACTACTAGACTTTTTTCTCAAAATAATTTAAACGCTGATATACTTCTTTCCCTAAGGTACTTTCAGGGAGTATAGTACGCCAAGACTCGGAAACATCTTTGGAAGGCGGACGCATCTGTTCGGAATAACAATTTAAGATACGTCAGCAATGATATTGATCCCGTATTGTCCAATATTAATTCCTGTGTATCGCCAAATGGAAATTTTTTGACACAAACTTGATCTGCGCGGAAACCATACGAGTCTAAGTTCCAAATCAGATAATTCTAATCTAAATCGGGCAGTCTTCGTGATCCTAAATTTTAGTACGATTGTATGGGAACAGGTGTATATAAGGGTATAAATCTCCTGTAAAAATCGGCAGATTTGAATGAAATTTCTGTTCTGTTTTCTTTGATCAAAAATAGATATAGTTTATGTGGTCAAAGATACAACAAATACAATATCCGTTTTTGCTCTACGAATGACATACTAGGAACATCAAACTTGACAAGGGCCGTCTGTAGAGGAACCCCGCAAGGATTCCTTTTCCCTCTTTTATAAAGCATAGCAGTCAATTCGACTCTATGCAAGATGGAAGAGGGGGCTGCAAGATAGTGGCGTATGCGGACCACGTGGCGTTTTTGTTCTCAGGAAAATATCCTCCACCACTCTGTGACCTTATGGGCGCAATACTACAAACCCTAGCTATCTGGACAACGTGTAAGGGCCTAGTAGTAAGCGCGAAGAAAACAGAGACAGTTCTCTTCAGCAGAAGTTATAAAATCCCTCCCCTCATCTATCCAACAATAACCAACCAGAGACTCTCTTTCAGCGAAATCGCAAAGTACCTAGGGGTGATACTAGACAGAAAGCTAAACTGGAACCTAAACATAAACAAAAGATCGAAGCGGCGACTCTATTCATCTGCAAAAAAGCAATAGGACTCAAAGAGGGCATGTCCCCCTACATGAACTAACACATGTTTAAAATTTGAGTGTGTGCTTAGCAGAGAAAAACAATAAGAGCAGAGGATTTACTGAGCGATAAAAACGTATTTTTTTATTTCATTTTTCGTTAATTCAAAAGTTGGAATGGGCACTAAAATAGAGTATTTTATTTTAAAAAAAGCTTTGATAGCAACACCCCAATACATTAATATGATTTTTACGCATTAGTATTAGTAACGAATAGCAGAAAGTAGGCATGACGTTTCACACATTTATACTGTGTGTGTGTGGCCGTGCCGACCACTGCTCTAAAGGCCATGTTTAATCTACCCAATACAGAACTAGTATGTATGAAGCAGGCAAAACTGGCGGTAATTCGACTAAGAGAAACACATAAGTGGAATCCTAACACGGGACACTTCACCATCCTACATAACGATCCACAAGTGCTTTTCAGCACAGACTACTGTACTCCTGTCAACACGTAAATACGCCCTTCAAAAGGAGGAATATACTCTGAACAACTAGGCGTCAAAGTCTTCTTCAGACTTCCTGATCCCTGCAGCGTCTTCCAAGCAATAAAACAACTAAAACACGTGAATTTATCAGGCATCACCAACAGTGAAATAGGATTGCAGTGACAGCCAAGCGGCCACGAAATCAATTGGATTGATCTCAAGCAACTCACAAATAATCTAAGCCTATAGATACTCTCTTCACGAGATGGCACAAGAGTATGACATCAGCCACATCTGGATCCCTGGCATAACAGGCAACTGCATAGCAGACGAACTGGCTCGTATAGCCACCACCACACCACTCCAGCCCTGGAGGGTACTAGTATTTAATAGGAGGTTTAACATAGTAATAAGGTGGAGGAACTAACCGCGGAACGACCCAATGTAACTGTAGCCGTACCCAGTAGTAGTACAACCTAAAAAGCTATGGAGTAACTATTTGTTACTCCATAAACATTATGCACATGGTTTATTATGGTTCTGTGACATTATGCAAAAATATTATGTACACTCGTTCGAAGACGACAAAAATGGACAAATTGTTTTTAGATGCAACATTCGCCTGTATGTTTTTTGTGTAGCGTCGATATACACTATCAAGCAGTACAAGCTTTAACATTGAAAGCCTGGTTGACAGACGTGTCTATAATAAGACAGTTCATCGATAGAAAAATTCCAAATATTAGCCTAAAGTGATGTGCCTAAAGGATGTTTCGCAGCTGATGTAGCAATAGACGAGCAGAGGACAAGTCACAAGTTAATTGTAAAACTTTTTCCATTTAAAGAAGGGTAAAAGTTTACTTTCCCAATTGTTGACAAAAATCCTAGAGTTGCAGAACGGATGAGTATTTACAATATAACGAATGCAAGCCCTGAAATAGATTGTCCTTCACAGTATGTAAAAAAGTTTTAGTCCTTAATCGATATCAATAAAGTAGCAGACGCAGTTGCAAATGGACCTAGACTTCACAGTTTGGCATTGCCAAGATAATAAAAACTCCATCATGTCGGCCGGCTTTTCAGTTGCCATCATGGCGAACACCATCATGGCGATGCTTAACATGGGCAATCCGACACTTCCCACGGTGGACTGGTCGCTAAGGAGGAGGATGCGGTCGGTTTACGAAAGCAGGTTGTCCTCATGCCAAATGATCCTGTGAGGCTCCTGGAGAAGACAGGGCACCGGATTAAGTACAGCTTCGAGCATGTTACGGTCCGGATTTATAAGTCGGATGCCAGGAGCAAGACTGAAGGCATCGAGCTGGAGGCAGACGCACAAGAGCCAGACTTTAAGGAGCCGACCGAAGAGGGGCACCCGGACTTCTTTGTCCACTAACCCAAAAAACTAGTATCGTCACTAAAACTTACCTATCTGAATACTAGGGCGCTACATAGCAAACTTCCAAACTATATTCTGATAGTTCTTTCTTTGCATCCCATATTATACAGGCATGCTCCGGTTTTCACTTTCGGTTTTCGTTTTCGTTTTGGGACCAAAACCGAGATTTTCGTTTTTAGGTGCTCCGGTTTTCACAAGTTTTTAGTTATCGTTTTGCTATCGAAACGTATCATTTCTCATAACTTCTTGCTGCCGAAACAGGTGATTTGAGGTTTGGTCAGCAGCAAACAACGCGAAAAAATGCCTTTTTTATATTCAATTACATCTTTCGTAGCCAAAAGAATTAAGGGGAAAAGCCAGAAAAGCCAAGTTAAGGGGATACCACCTTTTCAATGGGTTTCATATTCATTTCATTCCGGTGTTTTCAACAATTTTTTTTATACACTTTTAGAACATAACTAATTAAATTAAATTAATTAATTTTTAAAAAACATAGTTTACCAATTTCAACAAATTTATCGCCATCCATTTGATTATACAAGTATTTTTAACTTGCTTTTTTATTCTATCAAAAGTATGGCAGCTTAGGCGATAACTTATGGTGTCAAACTTATCGGTCGTTCACCAAAACGAAAATTGTTGTTGCCGACGGCAAAATTTGATATCCAAATTTGAGATGGGGTCAGAAATTACTCGTCTTAAAAATAATTACAAGCCTAATTGATCTTCTAGAGGTCTTAAAAGAACGACAATAAACCAATAAGTCAACTATTTTTTTTCCTTTTGCAAATAAGATCCGATTTAATATAGAAAATATTAATATTTCATTTAGGCAAGACAAATTTTTTCGTTTTGGAATTCGAAAAAATCTTGTGAAAGTGAAAATCATTTTGTCTGCGAAATCTTTATACATTACATGTTCATAAATACCGCCTTTGTCCGAACCGCCCACATATTGGCAGCATTTGTCCGCTACTCAATCCATTTTTAATCTTATGACTGATCGTGACCAGCTCGTAGATGTGGGCGACTTTAATATCCCAGAATTAAAATGGTCTAACGCCCATAACTCACCACCTTTATCAAGTATCACGCACCATTACTTCACCGCGGACATGTTTGACATGTTCCTAGGTCAAATTCATTTAGAAATTCATTTAGACTTATGCTTTGTATCTGATCCCGATGGTACCGCTCTCTCCAGAGCTTTCCACCTTTTAACCCCTGAGGATCCA